TCACACTTGGAAATATTGATTGCACTCGAAAAAATTGGTCAAACTTGAGGAAAAAAAGGCGTTCACATTTGCAAAAATGGGTTACACTTGGAAAATTTGGTCACACTTCGAGAAAAGGGAACCCACTTAGAAAAATGTGTCACACTCGGAAAAATTGCTCAAACTTGGAAAAAGGTTCACACTTGAAAAAATGGGTCACACTTAAAAAAGGTTTACACTTTGGAAAATGGGTCATACTTGGAAAAATGGGTCATTCTTAGATAAAAGGATCACACTTCTATAAATTGGTCACTTAGAGAAGTGGAACACACTAGGAAAAAAGGGTCACACTTGGAAAAATGGGTCACACTTGAAAAAAAGGGTCACACTTGGAAAAATGGGTCACACTTGGAAAGGGTCACACTTGTAAGAATGGGACACACGTGGAAAAAAAGGGCACACTACGAAAAATAAATCACAATTTAAAAAAATAGGTCACATTTGGAAAAATTGCACTCTGAAAACACATGGAATATTTCCGTCCACATTGCGCCGGAGGAATTTAAAACGTAACAATCACCGGTCACTTTGGATTTGTGTTTGAGGAAAACTCGGGCATTGAAATCACATGATTATCGTGACGTCATCGTTTTCGAAAAGCTGCGTTTTCAGAATGATTTCCGTCCACACGAAAACGAAAAGCCGGCGTTTTCAATTCCTCCGGTTTGAAAACTGTTTTGGCAAAGCTCCGTTTCGCGACAGATTAGAGAAGACGGTAGGCCTAACCGTACAAATAAAGCTCCATTTCCAAATCTCTCTGGCGTGATATGGACGCTGACTTACTAACTGCGGCGTCCGGGGTAGTCTTAATGCTTTTGAGTCACGTGTGTAGCCAGGAGTGATAGGGATGATGATGATAACGGCGGTGATAGTAGTGGTGATGGTGATAGTAGATGATCGTAAGCATGATAAAACGGTTGAAAACACTGTAGGAAGGGCCAACCAAGATAGGTACACACACAAGGGAAAACACAGCAGATATAGAATTTGTATTTAATTGTTCGTAAATTTACTGTTTTGCTTTTTACCTTTTTATTTATATCCACTTCCACTCTTTGACCAACTTTTATGAATAAGAAAACTTAACAGTTCTTCAATGAATTCCTTCCACCAATGAACTTCCTTTTCCTTGCTCTGTGGGGAATTTACCATCCCCACCCCATCCCCACGCCCATCCCCACCCCCAACCCTTCTCTCTGTCAGGATATTCATAAATTTTCTTCCAGAATCAATTGTCCGTAAATAGTTCATTCTTCGTAATTATCCCTTTTGGGAGCACAAAGCAAAACGTATCGGCAGAACTGTTTATTAAGTTTCTTCTTGTTTTTCTCGTCTCGTCCTTACATCCTACTTCTAATTCTTGAACATATTAGTGACGCTAGCTATGATGAAAACGTCTAAAACTTTTCACTGAACTGACTTTCTATCAAAACAACGTGAAGTTAAAATATTCATTTGTTCTTACTATTACAAAGGAAAGCGTTCTCGTGATTTGCACTTAAAGAACGTCTTAAGTTTCCTGCAAATCAACCTTTCACAATCTCGGAAAGATGACTGAAGACCAAAACCAGTGTTTGGAGACGAAAGCCGTGAGCTTCCACTTGCTACTATGCCCTGCGAGTTACACAGCACATCGCAGCTTCGTATGAACATTCGTCTATACGTCTTTACGGATGGCAGGCGTCTTCAGTAACGCCTCACCGACAAAAATACTGTCCTTGTAGATAAAATAACATGAAAAGAAATATATGAAGGTGTCGTAAACTTACCTTTAACTTTGACATAACTTATTTGATAAGTCTTTAAACTAAATTTGCCTAGATATTATCGTATCAAGTTCATTTTCATTATTGCCATTTGCATAGCACGTGGTAACTGGAAGTTAATCTCAAAACTATATACAAATTATATACACTGTAAAAATAATTTTGTTGCGTAAACCAGCGCACATCCTTTTAGCCGAAACTTATAAGGACAGAAACAAACAAACAAAGAAGGCTCGTCCTGAAAGAAATCTGGATGATTAAAAGGAATGAATGGAGGGAAGAAAGAGGGACACTAAGTACAGTGGTTTCACGAGCCGATGGACGCGGAGGCAAAGCCTCAACACGTAACGTAACGTAACGCTGTCAAGGCAACTCTGTTCATTTGACTCAAATCAAATTGTTGTCTCCACCTTGTATGATCTTAGATGAGCAATGGCATTGAAGACTGTTAGTGATATAAACATAAACTATTTAGCTCCTTTCCGTCTTTTCTTAAAATCCACTCTTTCACTAGATATGAAACAAAACCACTGGCCACCTGCATCAGTCTTCGTGAAAAGGAAATAAAACGCATTGATAACTTTCCTTCCATCTTTGTTACGATAAACCCTCGAAATCCCCCCCGAGTCCAGCATCCGCTTCAAGCATATTCATGAATACCGACATTGTCTCCTCGCTTTGCTCCATGGGAGTTTCCATAGACTCGATTGCATTCTGCATTCCAATCAACTGCTCCAACAGATGCGCCTGCGATAATTGCTGCTGACTATCCACACCAGCACCCCCCGCACGAGAGCCCAGTCCCCTCGCCGTCGCGGTTCTCGAGCCACTGGGCGTGTTGGGTGAAATATCATCTATATTTATCGTAGTTACACCTCCACCCGAAATATCCATGTTTAATGAGAGGTCCTCATTTGATCTGTTAGTCGTATTGGTTTTCATTCCGAACTGGGCTTGCCTAAAAATTACAGAAACAAAAGCAAGTGGAAAAAAAGACAAAGAAAAATAGCATGTATTACTGTAAAAGCCCGAGTGATTAACCATCTTTTTAATAAAAGAACCTTTTTTGTAAGAACATTGAGACTAAGATTAACCAACATTATCCTAGGCTGTGAGTTAGTCAAGAACGTTTTTATCTTACTCATTTTTTTCCTTTAATGAGTAGTATAAATAAAGGTAATGAGCCTCCGTGTTCGATGCTTTTTGTAAAGCCAAATTTAGCAATAGTTGGTTGGCGCGACATGTGGACAAATCTTGTTCGTGGCATAAGAGCACGTCCCACAAGCATGTGACAAGCAACTCGATACCACACCACAGCAAACAACGAACTTTGATAAGTTTCCTAGTCACGTCCGCTTTGATTTATTGCAATATTATACCGTGTAACTTTCAGAATATCTTTAAAGTGCCTATGAAGTAACAAATAATTACTGCTTATTTCAAAGGCTTTTCAAAATAAAGAAGAATGGCGTTTTCCTCTTTGGAACATCTCCTTTCGTTTAAGAGATGTTTACGTTTTTGTATTATGCAAATGAGGAAAGTGATGACATCATTAGTAGTTCCACGAAAACAGTAAAACACTGAATCAAGAATATCTCGAGAAATATTAGAGCTGTGTTCTTTGAAGAACGTTCAGCCTCCACTCAAACGTTAGACGTTCTTATAAAAACAAGAGTGTATTATATTGCGAAAATACTGGTCTACGTCATTTTTTGCAAGTTGATGGTGGAGCCAAAGGCGGTATCAATAAACGTCCCAAAAAATAAAAAGTAGCCAATACTTCTCAATACAGAGAGAACAAATGTCTCCGTCAGGCCAGTGGCCCATCAGGCTGGAGCTTATCCTAGTTTCTGTCCCACGAAGTGGCTAGGAGTACTTCTTCTACCCCCTGGATGGGATGCTAGTCCATGTAGGGTCACCCCCAGCATTCAATTCGCCGGTACTCATTTAAACACGCGGGTGGAGATAGGCACTGTGAGAGTAAGAACAACACAATGTCCCCGGCCAGGGCTCGAGTCCGGACCGCTCGATCCAGAGATCAGCGCGCTAACCATGAGGCCACCGCGTCCCCCACACCAAACGAAAAAGCTAGTTCATTAAAGTATTTACTATGGCTCTATTAAAACTCGGCGACAAATTAACAGTTAAAGGAGGAAGGCATCCCCCGTACAAGGCAGGGGTGGTGTCCTATTATGGAAGGCGACCCTTGCAGCAGCCTTCTGCACCCTAACAGAAGCTTACCCCTTACAAAAAGCAGGTATCCCCTCACATGAGGGGACAGCTTACACCGTGCCGGTGACCCTTTATAGAAAGTAAATCCCATACAGGTGCCTCCTCAGATATAAACAGGTCCAGGTGAGTCGAATGACAATAATGATACAGTATAGGTAATCGTATGAATGCGAGTGCAATTACGGATTCACACTACCAGTGATATAATTTTCTCACAATTGCACGAATTTTCAAGTATCACGAGTAGCGTAAATCCTAATTGTTCCAGCCTTCATACGATTACTCATTTATCATATGACTGAGAAAATCACGAACGCGCGCGCGTTAATTTGCACTGCAGTGCAAAAAAAAACAAAACGATAAATTGGCCTGCTCTCAGTCAATCACAATGAAGTAATTTTCTCAGTCATATGACATGTGACATACTTGTCTTGTGTCTGTTGGTTTTGAACCTCCTCCGCCACCATGGCCCCAATACGACTTGCTCCTACGTTTGTCCTTGCACCGTCCAAGTCAGATATTTTATTAACGGAAGACTTTGATCCTGGATTGAGTCAAATAAAAGCATTTACTCTA